ATTAAAAATTGCATATGTAATGTTGTTTTTAAAGTTTTATAAAATACACGGTTCTTGCAGCCGTTATCTTTCCATAAAGAGCTATGTAGGGATGAAAAGTACATTGTGTATGCATGTATCTAATTAGTTTTGTGAAGTAACATGGAAATGGGACATATACCGATACAATGAATAAGGTTGATTTACTAAGGGTATGATCAAGGGCAGAGCCACCTTAGGACCAGAGTAGATCCAGGGTTACCCTCAAATTTTCACTTTTTTTAGAAGTAAAATACTATTTAGATGCAAATTATATAAAAAAAAAAAACAATTCTAGTTCAATTGGCAAGACATTCTATCTCTTACCTAAATACTAGAGTTGACTCTATTACTTTACATTTGAGGTTTTTTTTTTTAAAGTAATTCATTTTTAAATTTACATTTTTACCTTTCATATTTAAAAGTTATATTCTTTTAGTAAGTTAGTTTTCAAAATTTATAAATTTGACACCTCAAATTTTATAAATTTTTATAATTCAATTTTTAGATAATTTTATTTAGTTGTAGTTTTTTTATATTTATTTCTCCTATATATATAAAAAAATTGTATTTACAGAGCTATTTTCACTTTTCGTATAAAGCTTCAAAACCAACGGACCATATATATATATATATATATATATATATATATATATATATATATATATATATATATATATATATATATATATATATATATATATATGGGCGAAACACAAGCATTAGAACTAGAGGGGCCGGTATAAAAACTTCAAAACGAAACTATATAAACAAGTTCTATTTGGTTCAAAATTATGATATATGAAATATGTAAACAAAAAATAATACAAAATATTGTTGTTACATTGCTTATCAAAATGGATTGTGACGATGTTTATATTTTTAAAATCTTATAAAATTGTCTCTAAACTATCTAAACTAATGGATGTATAGAGATTTTAATTACTTTCACATCATAATAATAAATTATATATACAAGTTTTAAATATTATTTTAATATTTTTGTTTACATTTTACTAATAAATGAACAAATAATAGTTAATAAGCATATACAGTTTTTATGCAGATCGATTCTAATAAGTAAAAGGTATATATAATGGTCTCTACGGTAGTAAATTTTAACTAGTAAGTAAAATGTATATATATGATATATCTTAATTCAATGAGTATTATCAGTTTTATAACTTGATAGAGTGTAGTCATAATAATTAGGTGACATTGAATAGTAAGAGAAACGTTTTATCTTATTTACATGGAGTGTTGTATGAATAGTGAGAGAAAAGAAAGAAATATAGATAGAAAGATTAAGAGAGACAAAGAGAAAACTTATAGGAGAAGATAGAGAGTACCTTTGAGATAAAATGAGCAGCCGGCTGAGCATACAAGCGCACGATAGAGGTCAAGTCTCAGTAGTCCAGGCTCCATCGACCAACGAAGAGAGAGAGAGAGAGAGAGAGAGAGAGAGAGAGAGAGAGCATACAACAAAACGGCAGGGGAAATCCGATGACCATAAAAGAGTACAAGACGGAAACGATCTTAACGAATGACGTTGTTTTTCAGGTGAGTTTCGAGAAGGCTTTTTCTGACGGCCGGTATAAGTTTAGGGTTTTAGGTTTACACTTTTATTTTTCTTAAAAGTTTGAGTTAAGTTGTTGTAAATTAGATCTTTGGGTTTTTTATAGATTTTAATAGGGTTATTGTTTCATGTATAGATTGCTAAAGAAATAAGATTATTTTTGATTTGGTTAGCAATCTTCCAAAAATATTGTTACCTATTATTTCTTGTTTTAGTTAATATTTGAAGTGCATAAATTTAACATATTATGTATACACAATAACCTGAAAACCGGGGCGAACATGTGATTGTGGTATTTTTTTTTTAACTTTGATAATACGTATATGGTTATTAGGAGAGCAAAAAACGGGAAGGCCATGGCCCCCTTGGCCCCTAATAAGAAGGGCTGACAATTCTCGACACGACACGCGACACGATACGAAATAAATGGGTTTGGGTTGAGTTTTTCAACCCGCCAACCTACTAACCCGCCAACCCGTTTATTAAACGGGTCATATATGGGTTTCTCAAAAAATAAACGGGTTGACCCGCCAACCCGTTTATATTCTTAATAAAAAAATTATTTTATTTTTAAATGTATTTATGTATCATGTATTAATATTTAATAAGTATTATATAATATATATCATTGATTTATATATCATTTGACTGTTTTGACATTTTGACTCGTGGTGGATGGTCTAAGGTCGTAAGTCGTAACCTGTAAGGATAAATCTGTAACATGTTTCTATGAATGTTTTTACTTTTCATTTGGATGTTTAAAATTTAAATGTCTAAAATTCGGACCCACGAACCCAAATCTAACACATGAACCCGCCAACCTGTGAACCCGTATAAATAAATGGGTTGGCGTGTCATATATGAGTTTATGTTCCAAACCCGCCAACCCGTGACCTGTATATTTAAATGGGTCGTGTTTGGGTTGGCATATTTTGACCCGCCAACCCGCGACACGTCAACCCGAACACGACATAATTGTCAGGCCTACTAATAAGAGTCCGCCACTATATATATATATATATATATATATATATATATATATATATATATATATATATATATATATATATTTCTCTACTAATATATTCTATGCTAATAAAAATTTGGTGATAATGTGGCAGGTGACTATGTGTTAAGTGCTCACTTTCGTGCTTATATTCAAGCATTGGGAAAATTACAACGGGATATAGTGGGTCCCACTGATTTGGTAGGTGTATACACGAGAAGCACGAGCCTTTAACAAGAGGAATAGAGCCTTTGAAAAACGGTCTGTTATTTTTATTCTTGGAGATCGAATAAATATTCTCAAGGTGTTTTTATTTTTATTTTTATGTCAAGTTATTGTTGTTTGTTTCTCATGCCACCTGCCATTTAACTTGTATTGATTATTGATCTAGGAAATTGACCAGCCTCTATTAATTCCACATATTGCTGAAGCAAGCTCCAAAAAATATTAATATGAAGTCCTTTTCAGAAGCATGTATAAACTGCTCATGGACCATTATATTATTGTTACAGTTCAACTATATAATTATAAGTTGAGATGGATTAGTTTAACATGATGATTTAAGTCAATTGTGTGGGTTCAAATCCCATTGTCAAAAAAATTATTTTCTTTTTTACCTGTATAGGGGACAATTAGTAAGCATTAACAAGCATCTAAAATTGAATTCGTGGAGAATAAATATTTATATGTTTGGAAAAAGATAAAAAAAAATATATATATTTAAAGTTGAATCTCGCTCCCTTAAAAGGCTTCAATTCATTTATGTTTTATTGACTATTTTCTTTTTGACATATACGACACCTTGTCACCTTTTTTTTTTTTTTTTTTTTTTTTTTTTTTTTTTTTTTTACTTATCATGCACAAATGCTTATTATAAGGAAACTTACAACATTTTCTTATAAATTGCACGATTGGCAACTTTAGAGAACTTGGAGATGTTGGATCTAACATTCTGTGGCTTCAATGGTACCTTCAAGTTTCAAGGTAAGAAATATAATCTTAAACCCATGTATGAAGTTTGGAAATATGGCCTTTTTTTGCGACAAATCAAGGACTTGATTCTTTTGGTGAAAGCATAACAATATTAAGGTAGAATTTTTAAAGTGAAAAGTTGTAATAGGAATAAAAATCCCATTCCATTTGCTTGGAGCTCTTTATATCCACATATATTTAGAAAAGGTAATTTGTTAATATTGTCCAACACATGTAAGCAAAAAGTACCCGAGATGATTATTTGAAGATTTCTCAGTTTGTTTTGTTGTGCTAATTTTATCCATTTTAGTTTTTAGCAGATTCAATCTTTGCCACATAATTAGCCTGTCTCTCGGACAGCTGAGAAGGTCGAGAAGTCAAAATAATTAGCCTACTTCTTGAACAACTGTTAAATGCACTAAATAGTAATATACTTTGAATTTACACATTTTTTGTATTTTTTCAATTAGTTTAATTTTTTTTTACCAAAAACCAGATTTCATTGCTATTTTTTTTGCATTTCTTCATGTTTAGGTGGAAAACACACAAAATAGCAATGTACTTTGAATTTACATTATTTTTTCCATTTTTAGCAATTTGTTTTGATTTTTTTTTTTTTTTACCAAAAACCAAATTACATTGCCAATTAGTTTTGAATTTACACATTTTTTTGTTTTTTCCAATTAGTTTTGAATCTTTTACCAAAAACCAAATTTCATTTCTATTCATTTCTCCATGTTTAGGTAATAAACGCACTAAATACTAACCAAAAAACAAATCAAAATGTATGAAGAGATGCACCAAGCAAGGCATAAGAACATAATCTCACTCCTGTCTTTTTTTTTTTAAACGCTTTCCATATGCTTGACATTTTTTTGCAATTTTCCAACGTTAATCATTTACTTCCAAATGATTTCGATGTACTTGCACCATTTTTCATACATTTTAATATTATGAATATTTATTTTCAAACGTATCTTAAATTTGCTTAAAAAATCAAGCAAATAACACAATCCAATTAAATAAAATAAGCTCATTGGCCCATGTAAAGCATGGGATACACCGACCAATGGGAAGCATGGGTATCTACCGTAGTTTGTATAAACAAAGTATTCCATTTATAACCTTTTTGGTTGAAAACTCGTAGTTATTAATTTTTACACCACAAATACAAGTGAAAACTTCTTTTAATTTGGTTTATAAATTAACCACAAATTATCATTAACTGACATGACGTTAACCATATGTAATGGAAACACATTTGAGTTTGAGAGTTTTGTGTTGTTTATTCATCAACTAGAAACAAAAGGTGTTTTGATTTTTATATTTTCATCATGATTCTCTCTTCAATTAAAATAAAAGATATAAAAGTCAAAACACCTTGTTTTTAAATGAATGAATCAAACGCATAAATGAAAATATCATGTTCAGTTTTTGTTTGAGATTTCCAAATAACCCAAAACGACAATTCTTTGACATTCCCAACCAAATACAAACATACAATCTTCACCCCATAAATCATTATTGCATCTATTTACAATATAAATACAAAAAATAATAATAACTTTACACATTAAAAAAAAGTAAATATCATACCCATGAACGACCCCATCAACAAATCAAATAACTTTACACATACAATCAAAATGTAGCACGTCATGTTCGGTTTGACCGTTTGACCGGTTACCAAATATTACTCTTTTACCAATGTTTCTGTTTTAATGGCTGCCACATAAGATAGCTTCCGGTTTATTGGAGTTTTCATACCATTAGGTGAAGTTTTCATGGACTCTGAATTTTTCATTGATGGTGATTTTGAGTTTTTCATAGCTTTGTTTGCTGGGCTATTGAGTTTCTTCTGAGTCAACTCAACCAGGACTCGGTTTTCCCATGGTTGAATTGCAATCCATCTATCCAACCAACTCCAACCCCATTCAGCAGTAGCTACTTCTGAATCGTACGGGACTAAATTGTATCTTGAACTCGGCCTCCACTGAAAATTCATCGTAAAAATCTTTGGATGCAAGAAATAGCAATGTACTTTCATTTATTTGTTAATAACATAATCCTAGATTCATAATCTTTCTATAACAACTTTGTAAAATTAGCTTTTTTTATTATTATAATTTTTTTATGAAAATTGAACAATGTTGTAATAGGAAGAAATGAAAATAGAATGTTATTTAAACAAATTTATGAAAGTATGTTGCTATTTTTTCCATTTAGCCCAAAACAAAATTCAGGGTAAATGAAAGAAATAGCAACTTATCTCCGTTTACTTGTTTCTTATGGCGTCTTATATTCATTTCTTTTTATTACAACACTGTATTTCTAATTTTATCTTATCTTGATTCTTGTCATTATACTTTGAAAAATCCATCTAATTATAGCAATGAAAATTACTATGTATTTCACACATTGCTATAAATTGGTAGATTATTTAAAGTACAGTGTTGTAATGAGAAGAAATCACAAGAAGATTATGTTATATACAAATACACAAAACTACATTACTACTTCTTGCATTTAACCCCATAAAATTCCTTCTTTATTTTTTAGTATATGGAAAAAGAAGTCAAATGTGCAACATAGTTTCAATGTATTTATAATATAGTTACTAAAAATTAATTGAATTTTAAAAAAATTTGATTGAGTTTACCTGATGAGAGAAGGCATATGCCATAGCTCTCTCACGCTTTACCGCTGCTTCTTCTCTATGTTGTATCCTTGCAAGCGCCTCATCAATGGTATCATAACCACCACTCCACTTCACCTACCATACCAAAAACAAAATAGAAAGAGGAACAAAAATTCAAGTTATGTATTATAATAACAATAAGTTTTTTACTTTTTTACACGAAAAGTGCTACGATTATTTTTAGCAAAATGCAAGGAAATAGCAATGTACTTTATTTTTTATTTTTTGTTAACCATAATTGCAATGTATGTATATTTTTTTACCTCTAGATCACGGAGCTTGGTCTCGAGCTTCAATTGATTCTCTAATTTCTTCCGTTTAATTCCTTCTTCTTCAACCATTTGAAGTCTTCGTGTTCTAATTTGGGATTGTATCTTGCTCCATGATTGAAGATTCATTAATGTATTTGATGTTTGCTTCTTTCCAAAATCACCTTTTGTAAGTGTTTGCAATCTTAATACTCCTTTTAAATGCTTTAGTGCTTTCCTTGCCTTCATATATGATTATTTATATTATTTAGGGTTAAATTAGTAAGATTCGGAAAAGCTAGTAAAAAGTAGCTATAATAATTAATAAAAAGAATATAACATGGGAAAAAATGGTCATTTAGCATGGACGTAATGTTTGTTCATTTTATTACTCCTTCCCTTCTAAACAAGTAAACAAGGTGCATTAGGGTTTTGAGGTCAAATGGTTTAAATTCAACTAGAAATTTTGATTGAAATGTCAGATATTTTGAAAAAAAAATGGATAATGACAATAAGCTTTAAGAAAATACTATGATAGCGAAAATATTGGTAATAAATACATACCAAATTCCATAAGAAGTTGACAAATGGTAGGTTTGACCATAAAAGTCAAACGTTACGGTTTGTTATAATCAAAACTAGGAAAGAGCCCATGCGAAAGCATGGGTTGGAAATAATTTAAAGTTTGGTAAAAAAAAATTGATTGGAAATAATTTAAAGTTTTCAAAAATAAAAATTTGTACAAAAGCGACAGTTTCAAAAAACATGTAACGGCGAAATCCAAGAATTTAGAGTAGGGTTGATTAACCGTTGACCAAGGAAGGGCCAATTGTGTAATAACCATAAAATATTGTGTGGAAAAAAGGATGTGCAAAAAAAGTATCCAAATAGAACAATGTTGGAACAGGAAGGGACCAAATTGACAATTGAACATACTTCTATGGGTGGAGATTGTAGTGGTAAAAACTGAACGGATGAAAACTGTGAAACCGCCAAAGAGTGGTGGCAGAAACCTAAAATCCTAAATTTTACTGTTGAAAAATCCAATGCGTTTCAATATATATGTATATAATTTCTTTTTACTTGATGTACACATAAGTACAAATTTTTTTACAAACTTTCCCTCATTTAATTTTTCCTCCAGTTTTCTCAATTTTCTCAAATATCTTAATTTTTTTTTTTTCAAACAACAATTTTTGAAAAAAAAAAAAAAAAACAAAATCCCTTACCTTAAATGCCCTGAATGCTGTTTGGATCCGAGTTGCAGCAATATCCTCAACCAACTGATGGACAACCTTAGACTTCTCGGAAGCAACACCATTGACCAAAATTGTTGACTTTTCTTGAGGTTGGGATTCCAATTTATTTTTCACGTGTAAAGTAAAACCCTGTAATAGCATGCACAAATATCAAATTTTTATAAACTTTGAAACCCTTTTTTCCTTATAAAATTTAAGATCCTTTTTCCCCATATATGTTTTTTTTTTTCTCATATTACGAATTGGAACGAATTTTCCATCTCGTTAAGCACTATCTTAGCAATCTTTTTGCAAGAAATGTACTAGAATAAAAAAATTCTAATTTTTTTTATTTAATTTATTTACACCACAATATATCTATGAGACTACGATAACTTGGTTCATTAAAATAATGTTAACACATGTGACATGTATACCTTCATCCTCTTTGATTTTGGCTTCCTTGATTTACTTAAGTTGATTATATTCTTCAACCAATCTCCAGATCCCATTCTTGATGCTACACTTGGTTTATACTGCTCGACAAAATATAATAAAATTATGTATAAAAGAAACATTTAACGAAAACCAACATTCAAATTCCTAATAAGAGAATGTCCGATGAACATCAACATAATGAACAAGAACAACAAGGAGAACTCCAATTATTGACGAGAGTGACATACCAAAGAAGAAAAACTTCAGATTCTGCTATTTGAAATCCTTCTAAAAGCGAAATGTGGAATGCCCACAAAATCCGAAGAACAGAAAAGCGAAGCAAAGTGGATTTACCATTTGGGGAAACGAGTAGAGAAGAAGAAATAGGGGGGAAAAGGAACAAAAGGTTGGTGCGTTGAAATTGTGGATATTTTCGCCATGGCCAATTATTGCTCACCAACCAGCTCAATTCTTTCATTAAATTCTCGCTCATCAAACTTTGATTCTCTCAAACGGGTGTTAATTCGAATTGGAGAAGGTAGAACATCAACAGGGTGCATTTTATTTTAATTATTGAGATTGAGATTGGGTTTCTTTTTAGCAATGTGCCAAGATTCTTTATTATGATTGAGTTTGGTGAACAATAATGGAATTAATCGAATTGTCGTTGGTGACTTTGGAGTTTTGGAGAGGAACATCATAATTTTGAGTTGTTATAACATAATTTGTAATATTTAATGGAAGGGAACAAGGGCTGTATTAACATAATTTAAAGAAAGTACGAGGCAAAACGCACGATTTTATTTATTTATTTATCTATAATGGGCGATCAACTGTCGAACATGCTATAAAAAAAGGAGAAATTTCGTCACATAACCATAAAATGGAGGGTGTTTTAAGAAAATAACCATAAAAATCAAGGTTTTATATAATGACCACAAATCCACAGAGGGTGTTCTGCGGATCGATTAAAATCTATGCGAATAGTGAACAGTATTGCGGATCCTAGGTGGTAATAGTTTTTAATTGGGATTTTTAGAATCCGCAGAGTCGGCTTTACAGATCTTGTATATCTTCTGCGGATTTTGATTTGTCATCGTTGAATACCCTACACTGCGAAAAAAGCCATATACCTTGAAACATACTACGGAAAGACTAAGGAGACGACTCGAATGCGATCAACCGATCATTGCAATGGTGCGTAAATCACGGCTTGTGGAAGAACTACACTCCGATGGCTATGGTACACATGTAAGTTTCTTTTTCCTTCTTTTGAATCGTAATTGGTCATTATTTTGAGTTTTATATATGTTCATAGGTTTATTTTTGAGTAAATTACACGAATGGTCCCTATGGTTTTGGGTAATTTGCACGTTTAGTCCATAACTTATTTTTTTTAACTCGGAAGGTCCATACTATTTGTTTTTGTTACACTCTTGGTCCCTAATGTTTATTTTTGTTACGCACTTGGTCCTTATCTTACCTAAAAATACTATTATTTAAATATGAGAAAATTGTAGGGTGGATAAGGTAAGGTGACGGAGTGGGGTTGGGAGTGTGTTTGATTAAATAAATGAAAAAATCAAGAGCAAAATAGTCTTTTTAGGTAAGACAGGGACAAAGCGTATAACAAAACAGATACTAGGGATCTTCCGAGTTAAAAAAATAAATTAAGGACCAAACGTGCAAATTACACAAAACCATAGGAACCATTCGTGTAATTTACTCTTTATTTTTCCTCCATCAATGGTTCATAAATCGTGTATGATAGTTTGTATTAGTAAATCTCAAAATTTTAGCCCGATTATTGCCCTGGAAATTGATTTGTTGCGAAGTACAGATTCGCAATATGGTGTTAACGAAGAACAGATCCGCAGAGCGCCCTTCTGCGGATCGATGTTACCCTCTGTGGAATTAAATTTTTTTAATTTTTTTTAATTTTAATTTTTATTTTATATCCACAAATGATTATTTAGTACCAAAAATTATTAGAAAAGATTATCAAAGTATATTGCTATTAACATGTTTAGAAGATAAGGGCATTGTAACGTCCTAAAATTTAAGACTAAATTTTTTTTTTATAAAACATTACTTAATACATAATTATCATCCATACCAGAACCAGAGTATTAATTTTCAAAACACATGTTTATTATCAGAGTAAAACATTCCCAGACTGTCTAATCTATGGTGTGTGCCATGCGATCACCCCGAGCTCTTCCCTCCGATACCGGAAGTACCTGAAACTAAAACTGAAAACCATAAGCACGAAGCTTAGTGAGTTCCCCAACCTACCACATACCATGCATAACCACAGACTGCGCATACTGGGCCACACCCGCTATTCTGGGCCTCCCCTACCTCGGGCCTCGCCCACTACAACGGCCCTGCCGCTCCAAGCCCCGCCTGGCTTCGAGCCCCGCTCGGACACAGATCTGTTTAACTTAGGCCTCGCCCGCTAACATATAATAGCACATAAACATACCACAACACATAAGCTAAACATATACTAATGGATCCTGTCCTAAGGCCTCACCCTTGTCCTGCTACTGATGAGCCATGGAACCCCATCCACGCTCCTACTGATAGTGAGATACGGGCCCAGCCCACACTCACTCTTTCCCTAACTTGGGCCTCGCCCCTATTCTGCTGCTAATGAGATGTGGAACACCATCCACGCTCTTCTATTGGTGAGATACGGGACCTCACCCACACTCACTCCCTACCAGGCACATACAAGTATCACATATATGACAAGTATACTCTATCATGCAAACCATTCCTTGGGCACCTGCCCGCTATCAATGGACCTTGGTCCTAAATATCATACTGGCATACAGTGCCTAGGGCTAACCCCTGGGTCTTCCTACTCACATCTACATGGGCCGACATTGTGGCCTTAGACCCATTCACACAAAGGGAAACTCACCTGCACTTGCTGAACTTGCTGATGACCCCTCTAGCTGCTTCTTGGCAACGCTCCGAACTCCTGCTCCACTAGCTCCCCGAGCTACCAATATCCATGCCACACTTAGTCTAACTATCCTCTGAAAGTCAACTAAGTCAACTCTGGTCAACGTCAAAGTCCTGGTCAAGGTCAACCTTCCAGGTCAACCCTACTCACCGAGTTTGCCTACTAAATCGCCGCATTCACACGCTCCGAGTCCTTCCATTCGCGACTCGACTCGCCGAGTGATATGGGCATATTTAGTTATAAAATTCATGCATTATCTTAATATTTTATGTTGTTTTTTTCTCATTTAATGAAAAAAAAGGTGCTTAATTAGTTTAGAATTTCATTTTTCAGCAACAATGACATGCTCGGGTGGAAAAGGAAGCAGAACTAGCGATTGGAAGCTTGGATCTTGGATTTTGAAGAAAGAAGGATGTTGCTGGATAGCTTGACCCCTCATCAGTGTTTTGGGCATATCTCATGAACCGTAACTCCGATTGACAAGATTCAAAATGTTCTGAAAACTAGATACAATTTCGGACGACTTTGATGTTTTGAGAAAATGTTGATTCCAAATGGACTCAGCGAGTAGGCCATCAAATCGCCGAGTTGGTCAGAAGTTTCGCGATTCTTGACTTTGCTTTGCCGTACACGGGATTTTAAGTGATGGACTCGCCGAGTAGGTCACTGTACTCGCCGAGTAGCCCCTATTTTGTGAAAATCTATATAAAGGGACTTTAAGATCGATACCCTAGCATATAGATGAACCCTTGGAGGCCAATTGTCGACTAAAGGTGCTGCTGGAGCATAGGAAGCTAAGGAATCAACCCTACATTCAATTTTAAGGAGAATCAAGTCAAAATCAAGTAAACTCTTACCTAATATCTTGTTTGAACTATGGTTTTACCAATTGATTTCGTTTTTGAGCTTGTTTTTGCTGTAATCATGAGCTAAAACTCATATCTTCTGTTTAGGTAGATGAATTTGTGAACATGGATAGATTATTTGATTAGGATTAATTTTAATTGGTGATTATGTTTTATTAAGCTTGTTAAAGAACCTTATGTGTTAACAATAACTATTCTTCTATTAATAAATCAGTAATTAAGTTGTATGAACATCTCTTAGTTGCTAATTTCATATGATTTACGTGACCACATAGTTGTATGTCTAGGAATAACGAATGTGCAACTAGAATTAACAAACTAGGAAATTCATTAATTTAGACAACTGGCCATTGCTTGAATTAATCTGTTTTTTAAGGATTAGCTATAGCGAATGTGAATCTAATCACTTTAGTCGGTAACCAATGAAGAAGTAATCCGATATATTTACCATAAAATCATCCATGAGAATAAATGATTCGAACCTAAACAGAAGGCCTTTTTAATCATTGAATTTAGTTGATCTTTGTTTTCTTAGCTATTAGTTGCTTAGTTTGCGTGTTAGTAAAGTATTTAAGTTTCTAGTCTTGCAAAACTAAAGAAAACTCTTTTTTTTACTTGTTTTATTTAGATAATATTAGCATTTATTTTAATTGTTTACCGTTCCCTGTGTTCGATACCCTACTTGCTTGAATTATATTACTAATCAATAGGTACACTGCCTTTCGTGTGTTTATTTTGTGTCTAAGTTGGTAGGATTAAAACTAGTTTATTTCACACACATCAAGTTTTGGCGCCGTTGCCGGGGAACGGTTCTAAATAGTTAATTTTATTTGCTAATTGTTATTTTTTTTTATTATTTGTTAGTTATTTTTTTAGTTTAATTTGTATTTTTATTTTTATTTATAATGTATTTTCCAAATCTCGATGCTTTTGATGCTTTTCTTGAGGAAGTAGTGCAGGTAAATGAGCAAAAAGATGAGGACTATGACTCAGATGATGATTTGAAGAAATTTGATAGATGGTTAGATAACATCTTGTCTAACGATCAAAAACAATTTGAGTCACAAGAGCTAAAGTTACAAGAAGAAGAATTTAATCCAGAAAGAGATTTGGAGAATCTGGAAAGGTTGCTAGCAGAGAGTTCGGATGAAGAGCGAAAACAAGCTGAATTGCAGGAACCAACTCGTGGTTTGACAATTACCACAACATGGTCCTATGTTCTTTCGGTTTGTGT